ATACGGTTCGTAATTGGTACGTGGAGCAAGACACGAAGACAATGCATCATGACATTCAATTTGACTTAATTGGTCGCCTGATTAATTTTTTATGAATTAATTAAAAATTTGACCAAGTTAGTAGGCAGTCCAATCCGCACGCTTCATCGCGGCAAAAGCGCGTCATCACGTTCAATAGCTGCGCAGTGGTTTTTAGTCATGTTACTCTGTTGTAAATAAAAACATGTAAAGTACTAAAAAATTTTCATAAAAAACGTTTTAATAACAAGTTTTTATGTAATAATGCACTAAAAAGTAGAAAATAAATTATACACTACTATTTAAATTACTATAAAGAAAAGCGTGGGTCTCTTCCTAAATATTATTAAAGGTATCCAATCTAATACTACTAAAAGTCAAGTTTGTTTACATGTTTGAATATTTATTTGTTTTTTTGTTTGTTTGTTTGTTTGCCTGATTGACTATCTCGCATGGTTGCACTCATCGTGGAAAGCTGTAAAATAGTATGTAGGTAGAGAAAATTTTTTGTTTTAAGACAGACTGTTAATCACAAATTTATTTAAAGACGTTAATTAATTTATTGATTTATTCATACGCAGAGTAACCCATTTTTTTTAAAAAGTTTAGAACGACCACTACACTCGGCGGGACCGTGACGTCACAGTTTTTTGTTTACTCTTTAGTACAATAAAATGGCGGCGTCTATCGAAGAAAATTGTGTTCCCATTCAAAAGTTTAACGCGTTCTAAATCTAATTTTCTGTCGGTCATAACTTTAACAATACGTCCGTTTGCTGTATTTATTACGTTCCAACACTTATATCAATTTTAAACTGTCTTTTTTCATTTAGTTTTACAATAAATTTCTCTAGATCTAAAGATCAGCTGTCGAAGGAAAGTTATGAATCTAGCCTAGATCTAGATCTAGCCTAGATCTAGGTCACTAGACTCAATGTAAATTCTAGATCTAGACTTAATGTAAATTCTACATCTAGAATCTATTTCAGGCCTTAATACATCTAGAATCTATTTCAGGCCTTAAGTATTTTATATAAATCTTTGTTTGGCTAATTTAAGATAAAATTTAATTTGAAAGTTACTAGATTCTACTACTAGACTTAGATCTAGATCTATGCGCGGAGACTCAAAAGTATAGTATAAAAATTCATTTGTGACGTCACGAGTAAATAGCTAAGTTGGTAGCGTAGTCCGCTCTCATGCGGGTGGTACAGGTTCTAGACCAATATGTCAATGATATTTTTTTTCAATTTTTTTTTTTAGATGTGAATGATAAAGTTGCCTATCTGAACTTGGCAGGATACAGGGCAGGTGAAGTAGAGTTCATCTGTTTCTTTGTCCTAAGCATATGAAAGGATAGTGTGGTCAGAGACATGCTCGGCTGGAATCGTTTTTTAAACGATAAAAACATGTTGTCTGAGACTTGGCGGGACACTGGGCAGGTGAAGTAGAGTTGAGTAGGTCACATGTGACGTCAGTATATGAAGGGATAGTCCGAAATCGGTGTTTTCGGTGTTTTTAAAAGATAAGAAACATATTTTTGAATGTGGGGTCTGTTTTTGTGACGATAAGTGACACTGCAGTAGCGTAGCGAGGAGGGGGGGGGGGGCGGGAGGGGAGGCGGGGGGGGGAGGGGAGGCGGGGGGAGGTGGAGGGGGGGCGGGGGGACATATGTTGGGGCGCCAAAATGGTTTGGAAAAATAAATTGAAAGGTTGAGGGGGGTTCAAATGGAAAGTTTGAGTGGGGGGGGGGGGGGTGCACATCAAAAGTTTGAGGGGGGGGGGGGTTGAAAATCGAAATCTTGGGGGGGGGGGGTTAAAATCGAAAAGTTTGTCCCCGGGCGCCGGGAATGCTCGCTATGCCTCTGAGTGACAGACGTGATGTTTTTTGATGGATGACCCCCGAAACCCACAGTTATCCAACGGATGACGGGTATTCTAGTAGATACTAAAGTGGCCGACGCTTTTCTTTATAGTAATTTAAATAGTAGTGTATAATTTATTTTATACTTTTTAGTGCATTATTATATACGAGCCGACCCGCGGTGTATCATACGCCGCTATTTAGTTGTTTTTTCTACTTTTCAGTAATTCATAATTTGTGAATTCGACAGTACCAATGCTGCCACTGAAAATATTCGCTTTAAAACACTAAACCCCCATTTCCCCCCCCCCCCCCCCCCCCCCGTGAAAGCAGCCTCCTCTTAGTTACCTCCTCTAAGTTTAAAATAGTTTCAAACTGAATTATCTGCCCCTAATAGCCGTCACCAAAGCCTGCTCTACTATTGTTTTGTAAACATTTAGCGTGAACTACAACTCACCTGACCATGTGAGGGGGGTGGGGGGGGGGGTGGGGGAGGTGGTAGCGATAGAGAGGAAGAGAGGGGACTGCAAGGCGCGCGCTTGCAGCTTGTTTTCTAACGGCTCCCAGAAGAGAATTATATGTATAGACATTTTCGCACATGGGCTGTTATATATTACTTATTAGGATTACATAAAAGCTTGTTATTATTAAAACGTTTTTTATGAATTTTTTTTTTGCCATGTTCGCTGTCTTAGTTTAGTGGGCATGCAAAATATAATCTATATCTAAATACTAAAGGAAATTCTTCGTAGAAACAGTTGTTTTCATTTATGTGATTTACGTAGGCTAGAGCCTAGATCTCGATCATTCCCATTGGCTAAGTCTGATGGATCTTTGGGTCTCAGGTTCAGGTTCAACGAAGCAAAATTTACTACGATTCATTTAGGCTATGGGGGAAATGATAACTCAAAAGGGTCAGATCTAACAGTTTTTTTTTTAATAAGTCCTACATCTAGATCTATTTGTCCTATATAGAAATCTAATTTTTCTAAATCTATTCTGGGTCTGTATAGGCTACTTATACGGAACTATTTTTTTTACTTACTAAAGGGAAACCACTCTATTAAGAAGCAGCCGTTTGAAAATCGGAGTGACCTAACTTATTCATGCGCAAGGTTGTCTTTGCTGTCGAAGCCGTGCGTTAGGGCCTATGTAAGAAGTTCTAAAAAGTATTGTAGATGTATTCTAGATTAATGTAGAATCTAGTCTAGAATATTCTAGAAATCTAGAGAGGTAATTTACACAACCTGATGCCTGTAGAAATTTTATGTTCTCGCATTACTTGTTATAAATAATCTAGATTATTGATAAACCTTAAGAGTAGACTTGACTTAGGGCAGACTTAGGCTAGTTTTAGATTTAGATCTAGAAATTTTAGAATCTAATCTAGATTCTAGATCTAGATTAGATCTAGATTCTAGGTAGATCTAGAGATCTACGTAAAATCGCCTGCGGCTAGTAATGTCCGAAAAAGTTACCTCATTGTCAAGGCTTTAATAGAAGTAGCTTTTTAGTAGATCTATATTCAACTATATTGTGATATATTTGTGTCAAATATTAGGCCTATTTGATAACTGAATAATAATTTGTCTTTGTGAAGCAGCTTGTTCATCAGCGCTGAGTTAACTTTTGCCCATGGTGGTGAAAAAAGATTGCCAGAAGTCACACCTATGTAACAAGTTGACACGTAATACGTAATACTCAATTGTGTTGGAGGGAATCTCTTCCATTCTAATATTAAAAATTAAGAACAAAGAAGAAAAAGACACATCTAACATTCCATTTTTTTTTCTAGCGCAAATCTTGTATGAATAATAATAAATTATATAACCAAATGTAAAAATAATAGCAATGATTCAGAGCAGTTCACATGCTTTGAGATTTCCCTCTGTCCACTTTAAAGATTGACAGTGATTGCTTAGGTTTCATACACATGCAACCTGAGTGATAAGCTAACAGTAATATAACACGCTATCATCTTGGCAAGGAATTCTCATATCAATTGGTGAAAATATTTTCATACTCATAAAGTAAAATCTTGTTTTAATTAAATTATATCCAAATTTAACCTATTCCAATGTTACCTAATAGAAACAACAAGCAGTTATATCTTTAAAGCTATAGCCGAAAACTAATAATGGATTAAAACTCAATTATTCATTGTGCTTTTATAGGCCTGGATATTAGTATCTAGAATCGCGTTTCTCCGACAGACCTAACAAATGGCTCTTATTCTGGAATTATTAGATAACAGATAATATTGTTGAAACCTAACAGAAACAACAAACAATTATATGATTAAATTTATATCTGAAAGCGCATAATGCATTGTAATGCATTAAACAGTTCAAGTGACAAAAATTAACACATTGGACAGCCATATATTTTAAGCAAAGCAGTCTCATGCAGTGATGTAGCTTCTGACCTTTGCCCTGACCCATGACCTAAGTTCAATTAAGCTTCATTCTTACATGCTGTCCTTATTTTAAAATATTTGTGCTAAAGTTTTAAAAATTGTAATGGTAAATTATGAAAATAGGCTCTTTGCTACTGCTAGGGTTGTTATTTTATATAAATGTAGCAAAAAATATTAGATATTGATCTAGAATCAGTACCTAATCCTATGTTTTTTTTGTTGGTGTAATATTTTATTAAAAAGCTGTGACTAATTTTATAGGAAAAAACAAGATAACTGACAAAAAATGTTGTTAATCAAGATCTTAAAAAAATCATTGCAGACAATTTTATCACTTTACTGCCTAACTAAGAATCACAAGTGATTTATGGAGAAATGAAATATATTCATTTAGTACCCAGGGGTTTATCTATAAAAGAAACTGAATTTAGAGCATGGGTATTTTTTTTTTTCAAGTAAAAAATCTTTTATGAAAAAATTCAAAGAAAATATAATATTATTGCCTAAACTCAGCAGATTTTTTAAATCAAGGGGTTGATTTGTAAAATAGGAAAGGAGGAAAATATTTAGAATCTACTCTTTGAATTTCCAAACTAGTAATAGAGCTAACTTAAAATATTTAGAGATACTTGTCCAACAAAGCGCTATATCACCTCTGTATTTCAGTTTTTTACAATAATCATTTATATTTCAGACAAAATGTTAGGGATGAATCAGTCACAAGGTTGGAGATCAACTGGCAAACTTTTAAAACAACTGTTGAACTACGCAGACTGTTGTAGTTTACATCGCTGCAAGCACAGAGTTCAACCACCAGTGCATATGTTGAAAGCCTTGTTTCACTCATCACATGGTAGAAAGTTACATGCAGCATGTAAGCTAGAGACACGTGGTGTTGTCAGGGTATCAGGGAGTGATTCATGGCAGTTTCTTCAAGGTTTGGTCACCAATGATGTAGAGCAGCTAGCCCAACAATCACCAGGTGTGCAGTACAACATGATGCTCAACTCTCAGGTTTGTCTGTGTTTTAGTATTATTATAGTTGTACAGAAATGTAACTTTCCCACTTTTTTCCAGAAATCCACTCATCCATCTAAAAAAAAGTTTCCACCGAAACAAAAGGAAATTATTTTGCCAAAAAAAATTAATATTTTTCCGCCGACCGACTTTTTTGAAAAAAACATGGAAATAATTTTAGCCTATCCATTATTTTGTTTTGCTACCAATATTCGAATGGTCGCATCATCCCCTCCTGCTTTATGACAGTTTTGCTGGTTTTACAGAATAATGTATTTCACTCAATGGACTATCTTACATCATTTGGGGATGTGTAATAGTTTATCGTCTACGGCGTGTAAACTTACACTTACTGTGGCAGTGTGAATGTGCTACAGCTATATTTAAAAAACTTATTTATCAAAAGATTGATCAGGCATGAACACTACCTCTCAAATTTATCCACTATTTTTGATAACTTCATAAAGCTAGTCAGAAGTTGTAGGGAGTCCTGAAAAGATTATTGGAGAAGTGTGTGGGGCTTTAGACCAAATTTTTTGATACCTTTTGTTGTGTGATGATATAGTTTGGGGTACAATTTGTCTAGTTAACGTCACGTCATTTATGTACGCAGCTTGGCTGCATTATACATATACCAAAGTGGTTCTTTATAGGATTATCTCCAGCAGAGATGTGATTTTTCAGTTTTTACTCAACTCTGCTTTTTCCCTAAAAAAAAGCTACGGAAAACTTTAGCACAGATTTAGACTCTATTCAATTCGTGGATGCGCTAACCGAGAGGCCTATTACTAGTTAGTTGCACAAACCAAGAAAATATGACGTCACAGTCTCAAAACCTTTCGTTTACAAAGAAAATAATTACGTCTACAGCCGTCTACACATAGCGCATCAAACGGCTTTAAAATAGATATCACGTGATTCCGTAACCCGTTTTAACTTTAGTCGGAACGACTTGATGCGGCTGCTTACGGCAGATTAATTTTTTGTTCAAGACCACTTTTCTATATGTCAAAACAAAAGCCACTAAAAAAGGTAAGTTTTCAAAAATTGTAATAAAATATTTTAACACTCGGACTAGCTCTGTATTTGTTAGGATTATTTTAATAATTCATTTTTCTGCTTAAGTCTATTTTTTTGTAATATTTTACGCTTTAGCAGACGACGAACTTCGTCTCACAAAGCAATCCTCCGAGTGACACTATTTAAACGGTATCGATACTTTTTTAACCCCTTTCCGCGCCGATTGATTGATTGTAAAATATAATAAATTTTATGACATTGACGCTTTAAAAAAAAAAGAATACTTACAAAAATTGGAGTTTAAATGTTGCTAACGTAATTATCTTGTGTTAAATGTTAATACAAAACACATTTATACAAATATGTAATGTTTTGAAGGCCCGCTCTAGTTGTAACTAATTCGCTGTAATCATGGTCGAACTGGGAATCGAGCTATTAAAATAAAATACTGTAAAAAGATACACACTTGAACTAAACATGGATTGAGTGTAATATATTTATCTATTTAATTAAATGCCCTAGTAGACTTCTTTTTGTTAATTATTAATAATGTAGAAAATATTGAAAATGGTCTCACAAAGTAGACCAATACTAGTAATATCGATACCGCTTAACATGCATCTACGTTCAGCCTTAAATCTAGTATTTAAGCCCCGAACTTACTAGTTAATTAATTAGCCCTAAAGGTTTATTCATGATTAATATTGATAAAATTAAAATTAGTGATTCAATTATTGTTTAAATTGTAAGGTTCTTGTTAATAAAACACCATATTTCAATGTCTGTCAACCTATTAAGTAGGCCTATTAACTATAATATTTATTTTAAAATAGGCATATAGTTTTTTTTCGACTTACTAGATCTAGCTTATTATTACTCAGTTGTTTTTTTTTAAGCTCTCACAAACACACTAGCTATTGTTTAACTAATAACTATAGTAAATATATTAATATGTTTAATATTATCAAAGTTTAATTAACTTTTTTAAGCCTATAACTTGATATATTAGTAGTAACATATTTTTTTTCGGACGTTACAAAAACAAAAACCAGTCACTTTTAATTAGTGGTATCGATGCCCTTCTTCAAAAGGTCCGTGTATTTTTTTTTTAATAATAAAATATATTATAAGTATAACTATTAATTTTTTTTTTGCTATCCATTGTCAAAAATTAAATAATATAACTATAATTAACTACTTATGATTTAATTATTTATAGGCAAGACAGAATGGAGAAGAAGAATGCCTTGAATGTAGTAAATCTCTATCAAAGCTATTCTGATGTAAGTGGTGAAGTGCGAATAGGCAATGTTGTTTATTTGTACTATATAAAAAATAAAAATATCTCCAAGGTACTTGATGAGCTATTAGATAGAAACAGACATATAAAAACAACAAAAATCTATTTTGCTAACAGAAACTCTGTAAACAGAATCATTAAAAAATTCATGCTCTTAAAATCAAACCCCGAAAGAAATTGGCATCAGTTGGTTAGTTTTTTCAAAGAACCTTATGTAGGAATAAACACACAGGCAACACCACTATCTGTGAGAAAGGAAAATAACCAAAATCCTACACAACAGCTGACTGCTTTGAGTGAAGAGACAATGACAATGGATGAAACTACAACAGATACACAAGTATTTGATTTGGGGGTAGCTACCAAACCTTTATGCAGAAAGAAGTGCTCACAGTGTTGTGAAAAAAACATAATATTGAAAAAAAATTTGGAAACCATAAAAACCTTAAGGAAAGAAATCAGAGACACAAACACTGCTCAAATTAGACATTTGAAAAGATCTGTAAAGCAAAAAGAAAAATTGATTACAACTTTGAAAATGAAGTGTATAGAAGAAAAAAGAAAATGCAGATTTATTGAACAAACAAAAGCAACAAGAGATTTAAAGAAAGAAATTATGATATTAAAAATAAAAAACACAAAACTAAGAAGCAAAATGAAACACTCATTGTTGAATCACAAAATGGTGATTGACAATAAGAAAGAAGTCATTGAAAGTTTCAAAAAAGAAGTTAATTCTCTGAAACAGCAACTAAGTAAACTTCTGGCAGATCATCACAATTTAATTGATCTATACTTAGAGTTAGAGAACAAAGAAGAAAACATAGAAACAAAAACTGGCAATAGGTATTGTCCAAAACTTAGAAAATGCATTTATAGATCACTTTTAAGTCATTGCCCAGTTAGAGGAGTAGGTGAAATTTTACAATCATTTTCTAGCACAGTATGCAACAAAAATTTAGATAGATTTCCACATTATTCAAATATATCAAGAATGATTTATGAGCCAGCGGTTCTATCATTAATACAAGTTGGTGAAGCCATAATGAATTGCGGCACAATGACAATATCGTTTGATGCCACTACTACAGGGGAGAAACATATAAATGCATTTAGTATTTCAACCTATCCACCTAGAAAGGATTACACTATATCTTCACAAAGAGTGGCAGGGGGAAGAGCTTATGATTATTCTACAAACATTTTATCTGCTTTGAGAGAAATAGGTTCCCTATTTTCTGAATTTAAAAAGATCCCATATATTGATTTCATGGACAATTGTCAAAAGAAAATGAGAAGTTGTTTGTCAGATAGAGCCCCGGTAAATAACTGTGTCCGACAAATGTTAGAAAATTATTTAAATGTCCAGCTGATTAAATTAAATTGCAATATACATCCCTTGGACACTATAGCTTCACAATGTAGGAAATATCTTTTAAAACTGGACAAAACCATTGGCACAACATCAGCATGTGGAAAAGACTGTGCTGCTGTCTCAATAGTATATAACATATCAAAACTAAGGTAAGAAAACTTTTCCAATAATAAAGACATTAATAAATATGTTGATTACTAATATCTTACTGACTATCATACTTTTTATTATTTTTTTTAGAACAACATTATTTACAAGAACATTTTTCCCAGGTACAGCTCAAAAGGTGAACCAGCTGCATTTAAATTGTTTTTAAAAGACAATAATGTAACACCTAGCAGCTTTGTTAGATATGTGGGAAATAGGCACCATGTGCTATTTCACATGGCAGGAGTAATTATAAAATATGAAGAAATATTAAAGAAGTTCTGTAAAAGGTATTCTCCAATATTTCTATTTAAACAATTGTATGATTAATTAGCTTGTGTTTACTTTTTTTTTTTTTATGTTGACACCACATTTTTATTCTATAATAAATTCATGTTCACAGAAATGACCACAATAACATTTGTAAAAATCTATACAAAGATTTATGTAAAGAAGATGTATTACTTCAGTTACAAGCTCTTGGGTTAGTAGGAAAAGTTATCACTGGGCCTTGGATGACCCTTCTGTACAAAAATGCAATGGGCAGGACAAATCTTCAAATAGTAGGTGCTTCGTTTGAAAAATTGATAAATAGATTTTCATTCTTTCAATGACTACAATGTTAGTTACTACTTTATTTTATTTTTTTACAGAGCCAAAATTTTCAATATGCTGTTAGCATGTTGGAGAAATTGATTGCTAGTCCAGTGCTGATTAAAAGCCACACAACAATATTTGAGGAAGTCTCCCTCAAACATGATGATGTCCATGCAGCACTTTTAAATAGGGCACATGACAGTGTTAAACTAGAAAATATTTTGTCTTGTTTGTTGCAAGAAACTCTTGTTGTTATAAAAAGGCAGATGGGCAGTTATTTATCAGATCCATCTGATGAAATGCTTGAGGCCACCAAGTCTGCCCCCCCACACAATATACACTGTGAGAGAATACTAGGAATGGCTGATTTTTTAATTCGTCGAGCGCCAAATGCCACTATAGGTTTTGTAGATTGCAAGGTTAAAGCTAAATTAAATAAAACAATGGAGTGGCTTGATGCAAAAAGTATCAATGAACAAAATCAGCTAATTGATTTTGCTATAACTGAAGGTGCTCGCAGGCGAAGATCTCACAAAACCCAACAGCGAGAAATAGAAAGTGAAATCATACAGAGAAGAGAAGAATCAATTAAAAAGAAAGAAAATAAAGAAAGAAAGAAGTTAAAGATAGATGTTGTTGATAAGTTGGCTAAAGGTCAGTTATTTATAAATGATGAAATATTCTGCAATGTGGAGACCAGACAAAAACAAGTATTAGCTAAAATTATCAATGGAGAGGATATGACTGGCCAACTGCTAAAACACAAGTGGGAATGTATAAATGACAATGACACCTTTTATTTTGGTAGAATAGTCTTAAGACTCTCAGCTAGTGAGACAAAACTTGATAGATTTGTAATTGCTTATTGGTCAATTGATGAGGAAAATAGTGAAGACTCAGAACTCAATGTAGATACTTTAATAACTGATATGATCAGTAAGCATCTGATGTTTGAGTTTTAATGTACAAGTTCTTTTAGAAGTTATATTGTACAATGTATAAATAAAAGCTATATCCATTGCAATGCACAAAGTTAGTCTCTTTATAAAACACAAGAATGTATATAAAATAAATTTATGTGACTGCTCATTGTTCAACAAAATAAAATTCTAAGTTCATGTTTGTCAATATGTAGTTATGATATCTGATTATTCCTGCAAATCAGATGCATGTATTAATTTATTCATAAATAATCAGCCTTTAGTTTATTCATTTGACTTTGAGACTACACATCCTACTACACTATACACAAAACTAGCCAGATTGTTGCTTCTATTCACACAGGACTCTTAAAATTAAAAGCTTGTAAACTTTGAGACTTTCCTATAGATCTATAATTAATAAAATAAACAGACACACTCTGTTTATGAATTTGTTTTATTCAATTTTTTAATGTAGGCATAAGTTTCCATGTATGTTATAATAAATACTGTAACTTGCTCTGTTCCTTAACATTTTTAAACTACTCTTTATTGTGCCATGATTTAAACCATATCCATGTTTACTTGTTTAGGCCTACTTTTAATTAATCAAGTTTTATCACGATGCATATTTTTTTAAAATGTCTCTCAATAGATCTAGAATCTAGATCTAGATCGCGCCCTTAAAACATCGATGCTCGTTGCATTCCACCAACCCGTAATAGATTTCGCGTAAGGCCATGGCTCATCGTAGTCTAGATCAGGAATAATCAGGGTTGAATTCTGGAGTATAGCTAGATTCTAGATCTTTGTTGTTTTAAATTAATTTAATTTTAATGCACCATGCAGGTCTCCGTAAAAAATCAATAATCGGGAATTTCATTTATATCTAGATCTAGTTAAACTTTAGAGTTTAGACTTTTTAGACATATGATGGGGATTGAGTCTAGTTCTAGGGTAGAGTCTAGCTATTTACTGTAAATTTTACATTTACACATTTAGATCTAGATCTAGATTCTATAAATCTAGTATTAGTGTTAAACGGTTAACCTATTTTATTTTAGGCTTTTTTTTATTATTAAGCTTTCATCGACATTTTTATCTATCTTTGGTATTTCCTTAAGCGTAAATATATTTAAAGCTAATAGGGCCTACACAAGATTGTTTAAAAACATTTTATTACAATTTAGTTTCTTTAGTCTTACGTACTCTCTTTGCTCTAGACTAGACGCGCGCAAAGTTAAACTGCGATAATGTAATAATTTTGAGAAATTATAATAGGTAGGAAAAGTGGTTCCAAAAGTGGTTCCACTTTGTGTTGCCAGAAAGCATATTTTTGAACCAAAATCGAATATTTTATAACATTTGTGAAATAAAGAAAAATCACTTCCGGTTTTACTAAGCTAGAAATATTTAAACTAAAAATTACTTATAATATAATAGTAATTTACCAAATATTTTAATTTTAATTTGGATTAGTATAGTCAGGGTGTTGTTGTGCAAGGGGATGTTATATTATTTAATATAAATAAACTACTAGGCTATATTCCATTGTAATAATAAGTAAAGCGTAATTAACATCAACATTTTAATATAGGCCTAATCAATCTAGATCTACCTCTGACTATCGGGTCATCTATTAACGATGTCACAACGATGCCAGACCTCCCCCTTCCCCCAAAAAAGTAAACCTAAGATTCCCCCCCCCCCCCCCCCCCCCCCCCCCGCTGTTGCAGCGATTTTCATAAAATATTTAGACCTATGGGCTTTTTTAACATTCAATGTAGGCCTATTGATGAATTATTTTATAACATTTTATAAAACAACTTTTAATAATGCAAATAAAGGCTTAAATTCAGTTTCTTAACAAGAGTGTTTGTTGAACATTGAAAAGTGTCATCTTACTTTCTGAACCCCCCTCCCGCCCTTGACACGAAGGTCCAAATCTCCCCCACCACCTCAAAGTCTTTTATGGACGACCACTTGAGCATTTTGCTATTATTTATAGGATATTCATTAATTAGTCATACAAACCTAATTACATTTGTTGCTGTGATGGTATCTCTGTCATTACAATTATTAAATAGTTTATCTTAACTCAACATTTCCCCTAACCTCATTTGCTACAGCTACCTATCCTTTATAGAAAACATCTTTTCCAATAACAACACATTACCAGGAAACAGGCAGTGATTATAGTTTGCTGTATTTGTGGTTAGTTATCAGCCTTATTTCTCTAAGCTTGGTCTACATTTATATGCTGGTATTTGTGGTATGGCTAGAATTGAGAAAAACCCATATTCTTGATTCTTCCCTTATCATTATGTTTTACAGCTATGATAGATATATGCAAATGTAAGACTTATAGTGGGACTACATATTTGTGAACACATTTGCTAAAGCAAAAGTTCTTGAGTTGAAATTTTAATCCTTTAGGTTGTCTCTGATTCAAATCAGCTTTAACTTTAACTGGTACCTGACTGGTTAGGGACAATAAAACTTAGTAAAAGCTGTTTGACATTTTGCTGACCATACAATTTATTAATATGGAAGGGCAACAAAACTAGGTGAAATCTACTTCAGCACCATATTCTTAAAAACTATTTATAGTAATTATAGTTCGCCAGTTTAAGTTAATTACTGAATAAAGGTAGCAATAATTAGTTTCCGCATACACCAGCACACACAACCAGTGCTAAAAAAAACATAACAAAGTTTATATTTTCTTTTTTTAATTACCATATTCATTCAGAATATTAAAAAAATAATTGTTCAATATGAACAAGTTTTCTTGGGTCCAACATGTATCCTTGGATCAGTTTTTAAATTGAGCTTCATCTTGACTTTTGTCTTCTCTGTATGCAGTTGTATAATCCACAGTATCTAAAAAAACATAAATAAATTTCATAAACTGTTATATTAAACTCATTATGTTTACATAATTTCAACTCTTAATGTTATAAATAAAAATATTTGTCTGTCTTATAAAGATCATAAAGCAATGATGTGTATTTATGTATTTGATTGTATGGGCTATCTAACCATTACCATTCATTAAAAATATTGGTCTAATATTTTACTTTTAATATTTTAATGTAAGGAGTTTGTCATAAAATACAATAGGCCTTCAAAAGAGTCCAAAAGTCATGTATATAATTAAAATAAAGAAAAAGGTATCAATAAAGATCTACTACTTATGTTTAGCCACCTCAGGAATTAGTTGAAAATTGATATTCAAACTAGGCTACTATAACTATCATTAATTCATACACATACTAGAATAAATATTAGGATAATTATATTAATTTGATTAGTAAGTTAATCCATCTATGACAATTGACACCTTTTGGCTTTATCAACTATTCTGCATTTTAAATTCTAAAGATCACTATATAATACTAAGAGTAGACTAAGTCATATATTAAGTTGATTAAGTAGAACTGAAATAAGACAGCTCTTTACTAATAATAAGCCTACTCTTCTATTCAGTAATTTTTACTATTATTATTAGAGGCCTAAAATTACTGTTAGACTACTAATCTAGATTAAACTTAAATTTTGGGATATTATTTAATGTACTAGTCGGTAACCTTTTATTTAGGCTACATGTAATTTTTACAAGTTTAAAATTGTAGCATTATTAAGCCTAGTTAACTTTGCTTAACTTACATACAAATACTAAATACCTACCCAATCACAGGCCTACTAGACTACTACTAAGCTACTACATCTAAATCTACAGTCTAGATAGGCCTACTGAACTAAAAGTAATATGACAACTGTAAAAATTAAGCATACTTTATTTTTTTTACAATACTATTTTAAGCCTATAGACCTAATGCTATTAAATATGAATCTATTAGATATTAGACTAACATAAGTCATCACAAGTCTAATTAGTAATTACCTCTAACTAGGCCCTAATCATATTAACAAAGTAAGTATTAGGACTGTCATCTGTAACATAGAATACTACTACTATAGTAAATATATTTTAACAAGTATGCTCTAACTAATTAGAATAATCATTTATTAGACTAGGCGTATGTAGTGCCCTACTAACTAATTACTAAGGACTAAGATTAACTATTTATTTACTATTTACTATATGACTAGTCTATAAAACTAGTTTATACCAGCTACACATTTATAATATAAACTATGGGCCTAATTTATTTAACTTATCTATTATTACCATTAACTTAAAATACTTCAATATACTTATTGAATTATTTAATATTGATTTTTATAAAATATATAACTTCTAGATCTAGACTAGAGTAGATCTCTTATTCTCTACTACTTGACTTATGACTTATACTTAACTTAATAGATCTAGTGTCGTACAATATAAAGTTACTTAACTAACTATAAGATCTATAGATCTAGTTAGTATTATTAGTATTAGTTATTAGTATTATATAAAGTATAAAGTATTATTGAGTATTATTAAGTTTATAAATTGGAATAGATCTAGATCTAGTGTTTTTATATTTAATAAATAATTAAACATATTAAAAAGCCGTAACATACTAGACTAGATCTAGATTCTAGATCTAGAAATCTAGATCTAGTCTAGATTCAAGACTACATCAACATCTAGATCTAAAATCTAGATCTAGATAATAATCATAGTTAATAGATTCTAGATCTAGATTCTAGATCTAGAATCTAGATCTAGAATTATTCTAGAATAGATCTCTAGACTCTAGAGTACTCCTCCTAGAATCTAGATCTAGTACTAGATTCTCGATATAAATCTATTTTAGTCTAGATAATCTAGATCTAGGTTAGATCTAGATCTAGGTCTAGATCTAGAATTTAGAAACTTATGGCTAGATTCTAGATTTCTAGCTTAGAGCACTCACAGAACTCACAGTGAGTAGTCACAGTTCACAACTTCACAGGCCTAACAAAAATAATGAAACATGCGTTAAAAACAATCTACAAAAACAATGGTAACAATTAATAAGAATAATGTTAGATATTAGTAATCTGAGCATAACAGTCATAAAAAAATAAGCCAACTATAATGAAAAGGGATACAAACGAATTTTAAAAGCCTGAATCGAACTGAAAATATTCCCTTGTTCGCCATTTTGTTTTCTTAAATCACCTTGTTCGTATTTATCATGGACAATAAATGTTATGACATTTATCGTTTTACTCTCCCTGGCCAGTTCAGTTCAGTTCAAGGTGGGGTTGAGGGCGGTTTTATTAAATATTTAAATTTATACAATAATTCAAAATCATTTTCAACGGCTTATGTTCAATACAAAAATATGAAAATGAGTGTAATCGATGGTTCCTTATCGACTTTAATTTTTAAAATTGTAGCTATAATTTTATCGCTTTCTAAATTTTTTAAAATAATTTTTAAAAAAATTAGTATGATTACATAGACTTTTCCTACCTATTATGCCTTTTATTAGAAGATTTTCCCATTCGCTTTTTTCGTACTCTCGACGTGACCAACTTTTGGTTTCATTCTCCACGAGCCGGCCCGCGGCATAACATACGCCGCTATTTAGTTGTTTCTAATTTTCAATAATTTATAATTTGTGAATTCGACAGTACCAACGCTGACACTGAAAATATTTCTTTAAAACACTATAAGTAGCTCGTTAAGGACCATAACCCCCCCCCCTTCCTACCCTCCCCCCTCCTCCCCCCCCCCCCCCCCTACGTTTATAATCGTTGGCTCTGCTTGTAAACATTTAGAGTGAACACAGCTCACTAAAACCATGTAGGGGTGGGGAGGTAGGGAGAGCGTTTGCAGCTTGTTTTCTAACGGCTCGAAGAAGAGAATTATATATATAGATAGGCTTAGTTGTCCCCGCAATTTTTACACTAAAACCGTCATATCTAGAGAACCGTTTATCCTATAAACATAAATTTGGTATCATTTTGCAACATTTAGTCCCATTAATACAACCCTGTCGTTATTTTTGTCATTTTTATCAATTGAAAAATTGCGTGCAACTAACTACCTATTACGCATGACTGCGCGAGCACATTCAACAAGCGCTTTTATTTAAATATCTAATTTTAACTTTGCTATTTACGTTTTTTACTAAATTTTTGGGGATTAAAAATACCCACTCGAACTATGATTGATTTTTTATACAAAATACTGAAGACTTACTTTGATATGGTGACACGATTGATACGGGCCTAGATCTACAAGTATTAAAATGTGTTAATTAAATGATTTAATGTATTAATCAAATAATTTAATGTCTCATAAAACTTTTCCTGCAGGGTCGCGTTCTATACGACTTATTTCTTTACAATATAACATACAAGTGCAAAACTCCAACATTATTGGTTGATGTTGACTCTACCGCTAAAGATGAAATTATTAAAATACTCAAACGCTACAAGCTCAGAAAGAAGGTGAAGTATTTTAAAATATTTTTTCTTTTTTAATGATTATAAGACAGTAATTTTTTCCAGAAATTTTGTATATAGACCTGTTTTTTAATATTATGCAAATTACACAACTGTCAACTCCAGTTGTATTGATTTTTTAAAATAAATAAATTACTGTTACTTAATCAAAAGCAATACAATAAATTTAGTTAAAAATGAAAATAGAGCACTACTGTCATCATTTGTAAAACCCCGGAGAGGCCTAGTGATAGAGAGCTGGACTGCTAACCCTTAAGTCTTGAGTTCAAATCCGGGTTCAAGTCAGTAGGCAGTCCCTGAGTTCACTCAACTCTGATGGGCACTGGGCATAGTGCTGACCACACTATCCCTTTTTAAGACGAGGTCACAGAAACAAGTGAACTCTACTTCACTTGCCCCTTGCACCGTCAGGTTTGAAAGGGAACTTATTTACTGAGTTAGCTAAGTTAAAACTATAGGCCTACTATAATGTGATTGGTTTTAATTTATCTGTATCAGACTGTGGAGTGTTAGTTTTACTCTTGCAATCAGTATATGAATAAACATGAAATAATTAGTTTTCTTTTATATTGGACACAAAATGTCAAAGAGCAATCTTAAAGTTTTTGTGATTGGAATTTCTTGTTTGATAATTAGGAATGTTGATTCGTATGTTTTCCCAATATTGGATGGCGCTTTAGTACTCTCTAGGGAGATGGTCATTTGTTGATTTTTTTGTATGCATGACTTAAATACTATACTCAGGTACACTTAGAGATATCTTCTCTCTCCTCACTAATAAAATATATTTGTAACTCCCATATAAACATCAACTTAATAGGTAGACATCAGTGATGCTAGTGACAGTTACAAAGTCTGGGCTACATGGAACCACCACGCTACCAGTCCACAAGAAGTCCAGCAAGACACACCAACCTTAACCTTTCATGATCCTAGAGTGCCAATGCTAGGGAACAGAATAGTCACAGAGCAAGATAATTTATGTGAGTTTTTTTCTGATAGTAATTTCCATGCTATAAATCACTTGCCTGCTTAAAAAATGTTCTTATAAATTGATCATTTAAGTAATGTAGATGGCTGCTGAACAGTTGGAGAAATAAACTGCGTGAGTGTATTAGTTGTGTCGCTTAAATTATTTAAAACCTTCAAACTAAGACTTAAAAATGACCTGTTATTTGTTAAATTTTATATAAACTATAGTTCTTTACTTTGCTGTTTGTGTTCATTTATTGGGACTCCAGCATAAGTAAAAAATATTTGATGCTGTATTATTAATATTGCTAACATTTCAATCTTTTGGTTTACAACCTAGTTTCAGAAGCCGAGAAGTCAACAGAAAGAGATTACAGAATTCACAGATACAAGTGGGGAGTTCCTGAAGGTGTGCTGGATCTACCCCCAGGGAATTGTTTTCCTTTAGAGAGTAACCTAGCATTTATGAATGGAGGTAACACAACTCAGTCTTTGTTTACTGCTTCAGAATTGGTTTACTGAAATAGATAAATACATATTAAGTATAATAGGCTTTCCAACTTCCATATTAGGCAAAGGGAGAAGCGCAAATCAACAGTCTTTATTTATAAGAATATATTTTTAACTACCTTTTTAAGTTGTATTATAAAATTGTATTGAAAAAGAAAATTTCATTGTAGAAGTTTAGAAAAATCAAAATTTTAGCCTTGATAATACTTTTCCTCAACAGTAAATTTTCAAAAAGGATGCTACATTGGACAGGAGTTAACAGCTCGTACATTTCACACAGGAGTGACACGTAAACGTCTGATGCCTATAGAGTTAGATCAGTAAGTGGGATCTTCTACTTGTTTAGTTTTTTTAGTTATAGCTAGATGGCCAGTGTTTTCCATTGCTGGCATCTAGGCAAGTTTGTTTTTTTAGTTACGAATCAAGCTAGACAGCCAATGTTTATCGCTATTGATAAAAAGACGAGTGCAAAGTTATCAGCTGCACACACCTACTGTCCTATTGTCAGACATATTAGACGTTGTGTCTTTGTGAATGAATGAATTTTTTTCTATTTGCAATTATCGATACAAAACTAAAATTTTCCTAATTCTACACCTTCTGTAAATGTGCAACCTGCAAATATTCCCTCAGCCTATGTCAAACATATTAGACAATGTGTGTCATTGTGAATAAATGAAAATTGGAAATTCGTCATGTAAGGCACGGTGCTTACTTAAAGCTATAGTATTGGAATGGCATAGTAAAGAACTGTGTTGCATTATTACTTAACTTAGATAGATAAAACACAGTCAAAATATTTTCTTATTAAATTTTATTTGAAATTCCAACGCCATATAATTGACTATAGAGAGAATTATTTATTTTTCTGTCTTCAATTTTTTTATACCAAACAGTAATTTTCATTTGGTTTCTATTTACCTATACTTATGAATATAAAAATCCCTGAGTTAAGTAGAAACTTCAGTATTAGATGGCTGGTATGTGTGTATTTTGTGCTCAACTTCATTGGATATCCCTGATATCACTCAGCTATGATAGGTACCTAATGAGAAAGTTTAAAAATTAAACCTTAATTTTATTTACTTCAAAAGACATTTTTTAGATTACCAATAATAGTTTCTTTTTTATTTTATTAGATCAGTTACAGTTAATCCAGATGTCACAATCAGCACTAAAGCCAGTGGTAAAAGTGCCGGAAAGTTCAGAAGTTCAGAGGGACAGTTTGGTCTTGGCCTGCTGAGAATGGAACTAATAGAAGAAAATCTTGGGGTGACTGCATTAGACGGTCAGTTCATTCATGTGAAGGTTCATCTACCTGGCTGGTGGCCCACTACAAAAACAAACTGATTGAGTGTTGCTAAAGTGACAACTGACCTGTGTACACAATTCAAGAAAGGAGGAAACAAGGTTACACTAACAGTTCTATCAAAAGGAAAGACATATTCTGAAGAAAATTGAAATCCAACACCTGAGCTGCATAAGAGGCTTGTAAACATTTTTTTTCTAAATCTAATTGATGTATTGTGTGCCCTTCAAGAAAACTTAATCCTCTATTTAAATTTAATATATCGTTACTGAATGTGATCATTTTCAACAATTTGATCCTTTACTGTCCTATGCACTGAGATTTTACGTATGTCGTATATACTGATTGTTCTCATTCGATCCCTAGTGATAAATGTTCTACTTCTTTAAGTTAAGAAATTTTTCAGCATTTTGCTTTTTGTTTTAGTTTTTTTTATACACGTAGACATATTTAATACTTCTAAAGCATATCATGATAGAAAAATAAGTAATTTTGCTTTGTTTTAAGGGAAGTAAAAATGTTAATGCTTGGACAGTAAAGGGTTAATTTTAGCTCATACATTTTGTTGTATTTTGGTTATAGCCACCATAAATGTATTCTAGGGAAGTCAGTGAGAATCAAGAAATTGTTACAGCCAAATGCCCAACATTAACTTGCCAGTATTTGAAGAAAATTAAGAATACATTGCTTTATGATACACTCAGTATTTTTCAATCAGGAGTGAAATAGAACTTTTGGAGGAAAGGGTAGAGCATAAAAGAGCACAAAAGTTTCCACACCTTATTAAATACAATTATAAAGACTGATTTGTGGTTGAATCTAATCACTAGTATGTTGCTCGACATTACCTTTTTTTTTTTTTTTTTTTGCAATTCTCATTAATTAACTAGACAACTTCTCCACTACAGGTTTTAAAATAAAAGACATTATTTAACAGACTACCAATAACAGAAACTTTCCTACACAAAATTACATTAACAGTCTGATTAATTTTTTCCCATTCACGCCTTGATTCATACTTTCACCACATGCTGCTTATTAACATCCCCTTTCTCCTAATACCCACACCCATAAATCATTCCCATATTCATGTATTCTGTTTCAAGTTTTGTGTTCTTTACATAAATAATACTGCTGAATCCCCAGCCCACTATTAAGTTATTGCCTCTGTGTCACCATCACCCCTGTGTTACCCCACCCCCTCCATCCAAGGAATGATCACAATTAAATGCTGCATACTCTTGACCTGTTTCAAATACCTTCTGCCGAAATACACTAGATCTAGATAATGGTCTACTGTGCTACCTAGCATTTTGTTTACTCTGGATACTCATGTTGGGATAATGGGTAGCATTCTTTGTTCTGCTGTCCTGTCATTATCTTTGACAAAACAATATATTGACTTGATCTATAAAAGCAATGGGTTTCTTTCAGTCTTCTATAATAGACAGGGATTCAAAGAGCAGGGATTTCAGACAATATCAATGAGTCAACCTCACTATTCAGATATTAAAATGAAAACTCCTTTCCTTCACTAGCGTCCCCTCTCCGACCACCTGCGCCAGTCCATGAACATGCCTTCGCATTTCATTTTAATTACCTGGTGGGCTATTCAGGCGCTGGTCATCCTTCGTGAATGGCAACTTTAACAACCTATGACTTGACTACATTCACAACCTCACCCTAACGCAAGGCACTGGACTGCCCTAACCCTCTTTCCTTGCAACAACAATCCTACACTAAAACATCTTGTGTACTGCTTCACACAGTCACGAGCTTTTATTTATACAAAATCCTTACACAACAGACATCCTTCAACAACATACATACTCTTATACAGTTGCAATACCCTGATATCACTCATAACAATTGGCAAAATCTTCTAATGATTTTTCTTCTTAGCCTTTTCAGTTTTCATCTCTCCAACCCCAAATGCATTCACTAGTAATGTAAAATCTGAGTCTTTCTCTGCCCCAATTCAGTTCTTTGCTGATGCTGCCTGTTATCATTTTAAAACACTGGCCTCTGGTACTTTTTGTGCCACATTAAATTTACCTTGTCACCTGGTGAATTGTCAGGTTCTTCAAGTTGTGCTGGTGGTGTTTTATTTAATGTTACAAGGGCTATAGGACATTCTCCTCTCTCCCCCCCCCCCCCCCCCCCTCAAGTTAGAATCCTAACTCTGACTAGAATTCTATACCTATGTATTACCTTAATCCTAACCTTAAGAAAAAGACCAAAACCAAAGCATCCACATCAGCCTAAAACTTAACACAAAACCAAAACTAGACATTGGTTTAAGCCTGTTGTGAACACACGGACACGCCTTTCAGGTGATCCGATGCGTAGCGCAACATATAAGACAGACAACTACAAACGGGTTACAACACAAGACTGAATGAAACAAAGGCTAGTTGAAAACTAAAAGAATGTAATAGTATATACACTATCTACACCTAACAAAGTCTAGTCTAAACATGTTAATATGTTTTTAGTTTTTTTCCATGTTTCCTCTATCTTCTCTTCTTCTAAATCTATTAGTTCTTGTAGTACCTGAAACCTATTGGACATTTGAAGTTTAAATTCATTGAGTTTAGAGGGGTCCTTAAACAAGCCTGTGTTGTATCTGTATTTCCTTTTGTTTTCCAACATGTTTTTATTCAGTTTGAGTTTTACTATAGCTACCAAAACTAAGATACAGTGGCTAAAAACTAGTATAAACCTAACCTGTACTAACATTCAAATTCAAATTTATTCAAAAAATGGTTACAATTGTAGGCACGAAGGCCTTTTTTCCCATTGGCCGTTTAAACAAATAAAACAATTCAATAACACATAGCAGTAACATAGCACTAAAAATGTGGAATAAAGAAATAATGTTACATAGTTATAATACAAAATTAGATAAAAAAGAGAATATAATAGATGAATGAGAAATGTTACATGAGTCAGTTAGAGAGGTCATTAAATAATTGTTGTTTTAGTTTAGATTTGAATATATTTTCAGATCTAGATAGCTTTATTTTATTAGGAAGATTGTTCCACAAATTAGAACCAGAGTAGGCGAAGCTATGTTTTTGGAAAAAAGTTGTATATGGTAATGGTAAATTAAGACGACGATTTAATTTTATGTTAAAAGAAAATAGGTCTGATAAATAAGAGGGGGCTGTTTCGTGGAATATTTTATAAAAAAAAATTTAGTATATATTATCCAGACTAATGGACAAGCCAGTAACTAGTTTTATAGCCCTTTTTTGTAATGATAGAAGAGGACGCTGCTTAGTTATAAAGCTGCCGCTCCACACTACAGAAGCATAATCCAACCTAGATTGAATAAAAGCTTCCAAAAAACTAGCCTGCTCCTATAATCGAGAAAGTTCTTTATCCTTGCTAATTGAAAAGTTGTCTTTAATAAGGACATTCTCAGAAAATGAATATGATCGGACCAAGTGAGGTTGTGATCTCTAACCAATCCTAGGCATTTGTAACTATCAACCTGTTCAATGTTTGTATTGTCTATAGTAATGCGTAATGCGGTGGATGGAAGACTAAGGCGTTTCTGATGAGTAGGGATTGTGGTCAGTGTACACCACTAAGGGACCAACAGAGGAAGTCACATATATTTCAAAATGTGGCAAAGCAAGTACTAAGGCTAGTGCCTCTTTCTCAATAGTTGAGTAGTTGCGTTGGCCAGCATTTAATTTTTGTGAGAAATAGACAATGGGATGATCCATTCCATTTGTATCCTCTTGTAAGAGCACTGCTCCTACCCCTACTTCGCTGGCATCCACAGCCAGTTTAAATGGTTCACTAAAATCAGGAGCCTTTAGGACAGGGTTGGAGGTTAACATGGCTTTGATTTCTTCAAAAGCTGTTGACATGTGGCATCCCTAACAAACTTAACGTAATGTTTGAGAAGAGTGGTAAGGGGGACTGCAACACTAGAGAAGTTTGGATAAAATCGTAGGTAGTAGCCCGACATGCCTAAAAACCTACTCAACTGTCTTACATTTGTGGGAGGGGACATGTGGTCAATGGCTTCAACTTTGGCTGACACAGGTTGAACCACACCATTACCAACGTTGAACCACACCATTACCAGCGTTGTGTTCCTGAAAGCATTTCATCTCTGTATTCTGTTCATTGTGCTGAAAAATCTTTCAATAGAAGCTATCGTGATGGGAATGAAAACTTTCACACAGCTTTTGTAACTCACAGTACCCTAGGTTAGTTTGTTAATTTTTCAATGGACTTTTATTAACTGTTATACTGCTCCACCATGTTACGGTTATGTGTTGCAGTGAGAGGGTTTGATTTATTTGACTTAGCCAGCTACCATTTCACTCTCTCCAATACCAGGGAGAGAGCATTACACCTTGAGAACCACTAGGTTATGTCACATTCAAATAGATCAACGATAAACAATCAGGAATAAGATGAACCAAGTAATCCGTGTATGAATCTTTTAATCTCTTATCTACAACAACACACGTCCTTTCACACAGACCATAAGGATTCAACTGCTCACACATAAACTCATAGCAACCCACTCTCTAACCTAAAACTGTCACACATTCACTCGTTCAATATACGGCCGCACCATCAATCCTGCGCACCGATTTCCCCAGTCAAACATGCATCATAACATTAACATTCAACTATTTCATTGAAATTATTGACTTAACAAAGTATCTGAATGACTTTTTGTGTAAGTTCACCTTCCAGATTAAGGAAAGTTGTCATAAAATTTAGTAACTTTAATGGCATCTAATTCCATTAAAGATTGAGTGTCTCAAACCTACTGGTGAATATCAAGACATCAACTTACTTATCATTAAATCAGACTTCAATTTCTCTCTTTGCGCATTCACAATAATCTTCATCCTTTTGAAAGTTGTTTTCTGATCTTCTTCTCTGATCTGGCATATTTTCATTCTAAATTTTTCCTTTATCTGGCAATGAACTTTATTTTGCAAGCCGCTATTGCTGTCTTTACATTGCTGTGCAATATCATCAGCTGACCGTCCCACGTGACCGGTCAGCTCCTGTACGTCCTTTGGTCTCCAGCCAACTATCTATAGTCTGTTTCTCTATCTACTTGACCTAAACTAGCGTCATCACACTATGATAAAACTTTTGTGTCTAATTTCAAGCAATATTCCCCCTGCCAGCAATGTCTGCTCCTTCCTTGTGTATATGCCCACATGCTATTAAAATAGAAGTGTGCTCTTGTAGACGGCATTAACTATTCTGTAATGACGCTGTCATCTTCTCATCAATATCTGCAA